ACAGTGCACCGCCAGCTAATGTGTGATTGGAGAGTAGTCCTCCAGCGAGTCCGTGACTGGATAAGGAATGAGACACGCCTCCATTCTGGTCTACCTTGGAGGCAAGTTTACGTCTTTTGTTGCCAACCCATGTCTGCAGGGAGAAGAGCAATCAGCTCAGTAACATCACTTAAAAAATACTGCAAATTCCCCCACTGTGGGACTAATGAAGGAATATCTTATCTTATCTTAAAACATTCTGCAAAACACTAGAGGGACAGATTCTGCACTGTGAGAATAATAAGTTATCCCTCTGCACTAGATGAAGACCTCATAGGAAATAAACCACAGCTTCATGGCCTCATTTACTTGCCCCAGCATTACATGGGCATCCCTTACATAAAACACAAATGCAACACAAACCATACTGAGGAGTTCCGCGTCCCCCTAACTCATTCACAAACAAGCATAATTTATGGGCCTACCCGGACCACGCTGAAGTCCAATTTGGCCTCCTGGGCACATTGCAGTATTAGCTGGAAGCAAGCCTTGCTCTGATTGGTCATCCCATTCTCATAGTAACGTTCCAGGATCCTCTGCTGTTCAGCGGTGAACACTGACCGCAGGTTCATCTGAGAGACAACCACACAGATAAAGAACCCCCAAAACTCTCACAACAATTCAATATTAATCAGAGCTCACTTCCAGATTAGGGTGGGTGATTAGTTTGAAGAGATAAAGTTTTTACTGTGAACTTAGAGCTTCATTACACTTGTGCAATTTACTTTTTTCCGATTATAAACTACAGTAAGATTGTTTTTGCTGCCAATTTAATTCCAAAAAAATCACAGTATAGCTTTGTAATAAACATTAATTTAGCAAATGCATCAACTATTACATAGCTTTTTCCCCCAAAATGTCACAGTCTCAAGATTACAACTACAGCAGTAGTACATGTTTTCTTGTTTTGAATTTTCTTTTAGAATTTATCTCATGTCACTTTTTCTATCTCCTACTGAAATGAAATGTATGATATACTCACAGTCTGCAGGCCACGTCTTTGTGGCCACGCATCCATTCTGCTACTGGAGGGGAACGGGGCTGCCATGCAGATCACAGCAAAACCTCCATATTTCTAGGTTAGCACGAGTTTGATCGTAGTCATCCTGTCTCAGTGTAGCTGGCACACTGCAGGGTAGTACGGCTGAGGAGAAAGCAAAGCAGACAGACACTATGCTTAAGAGTGTAAAGAAAAAAAGACAACAAATCCATTAAACAATCCATCTCATTATGTTGTAGGCAACCAGTCAACACTTTGTCATATATTACAAATCTTTGCAAAAAATGACATTGAACACTGTGAAGCTGAAAAATATACAACACACTGTCACTCAAAGTACAATAAGCTATGACAAAGCTACTGTGTAACATCAATAACACCATCAATCAAGCTAATATGTTGTGCCTAGCCAGACATTGTTCTATTTATTTATTTTCTTTATAGTTTATTATCACTGAAACCCATTTAAATCAGTGTCAATGAAAAAACCCACAGAGCTACAATTAATTGAAGGTGGTTTATCCATCTTTATGGCAAAACAAAACATGATTGTGCATCGTAAGCAAGGTTCAGTAAAAAGTCCACTGGAAATCGTTTTTTAATTCTAACGTAATTTCGTTTTTTAACAGGCTTTCAAAATAATAACTGTTTGTATAAACAATAAAGAAATACTCGAAGTTAAGTAACTTGCAAATTTTGGACACAGCTAGCCTATTCTTTTCTATGTTCTACACGAACAGAAATATAAATGAATGGTGTTACAGTATTGTGAATATGGATTTCAAAGAAACTTTCGCAGCAAACCTGTGCTGTATTAGTAAGCTACGCAGAGAGGGGGAGAAAGGAAAGAGCAGCAACCAGTCTGGTTAAAGTAATAACATTTGGACTTTTATAGAGCTGAAAAATGTGTTTGGAAGTTTGGAATAGAGTTGCAAGAGGTTATGATAAACAGAAAGTCACATACGGAAATATTGTGCGACCAATAAGCACCCAGCAGCTTTATTTTGGCAGGCTGACTGCGCATGGCCACAGTCAATAACATTACGGAGAGAATTAGCCAACAAATTGTGGGCACGTCAGATTAGCTCGCCACCAAGGCAACAGCTTGGGGATTCAGAAACACAATTACCACACAGGAAGCACATGCCATAACTTTACGACGGAGAGCCAGACAGTAAACAAACCGGGGAAGCGCCGCATCACCACAATGGCCATACAGACAGCTTACGTTAGCTTGCAGGCCCAAGCGGCCATGTCTGAGCCCAGCCAATGTTAGCCACCATTAGCATAGCTTTCCCACTGGATAGCTGCAGCTAAACTTTTCCTTCAAATCTGTGATTTCCCGACCCTGGCATGGTCATTCGCGCTGACCCTGGCTTCGAGCGGATACGAACAAAAACGATTCGGGATACCCTGAAGCGAAAAGCAAAATCACTTTGCTGCTTACCATTTTGATGTCAAAATCAGAACGAACGTTCAAATTCAGCAGATTTCTTCACCAGTCCCCTTTGCTAGACAATGAAATCAGAACGTCCGATCATCAATTCTAATCATGATTGTGACGTATTCGCAGACAGGAGCCAATGGGAGCTCGAGATCATCGCTGTGACATTCGGAAAGGGCTGAAAACTGAGCACCGTGGTCCCGCCCACCATTGACTTTGTTCAGTTGGTTGCTGGAGGAGGAGGTCACAGACATGGAAGCAGCCCAAACCCTGGATGGGAAATGGTTCGCTTCCTCATCTCCGGAATCTGTCAAAAATATCTTTTAAAGTGGTTTCAGTCTGGTCTGCCAAGGGAACTGTGTTTGGATGTGTAGTAGGTGCTGGAAATGTTGCCAACAAAGAAATGTTTATGGACAATTTCACTCCAGGATACCAAAATGTAGCCTATTAGTGTTTAATCAGACAGCAGATGTTTTATATCTGAGCTTTAACTTTTGATTGATCATCAGACTTCATATTGACAGGAAATTATTGCAGCATATGCTTGATTTCCTATTTCCAAAGGTAGAATTTTGTTAAATGTTAAAATCCAATTACAGTGTTAACCTTGCAGAACCTGCTTTTCAACACTGCATTTTTCAAGTCAGGTCAAGTAGCTTTGCTGTCTTCACAACCATATACAGTACAGTACACAACAGAGACAAAATTACACTCTCCTTGGGCCATATCGTGCAACATAGACAGGTTAGAATGATAATAAAAACTTTAATTAACTTTAACATTAACTACGGTTATGCAAATAAAGAAAACATTTTATTAAAATTAGATTCCTTTTTATCTTGGGAAACAAATTACTTTGATAGACACTATCAAAGTAATTTATAATTAGTTAACTTAAATGACTAGTAAATTAGTTAAATCACATCTCCTCACCCTGCAACAGGCTCAAATATCAGACAAATAGGGCAATAAATGTTCTTTTCTTTGAACCAGAAAGAAATAAACATTGACCCTTACTAGGTTTTCACGCACAACCACAGACTGCCATAATTTATAAGACTTCTCAAGTCATTATTGTTACTTAGAGAGATGCAATCTGTTTGACCCGAGCATGTCCTTCTGCACTTTAAAACAAATGTGCTCAGTATTATTAATTGTGTGTAAGAGCCATGAATACTGTTCATCCACAATCACTGTGTTTTATTATTTGTACTTACTGTGTATGAAGGTGTGGGGTTGACATATTATTGGGTAAAAGATTAGAAAAGGGGGGGGGGGGCTGCAACATCTTAATGTGAACTGAATCACATAAAACATACAAACAAACAGTATGGGCCCTTTAAATAATCACTGTATCTTACCTTATTTTAACCTTACATTTGTCTATATATCTATCTGTATCCCATCTACTGCTTTATCTCACTTTCTATAAAGTGAGCCTCCTATGTGTGTGTGTGTGTGTGTGTGTGTGTGTGTGTGTGTGTGTGTGTGTGTGTGTGTGCGCGCGTGTTGGGGAAGGGAGGAGTGTGGGTGGGGTGGTGGGGTGGCTGCCTGCCTTAATCCATGACGTCACCTGTGTCCCAGGTGCGCAGCAGGGGGCGCTGCTCCTCACAGCTGAGCCCATGCAGCCAGCAGCAGCGCCTGACAACTGATGCTGATTTTCTCATCCATAGATGGTGAACTTAAGAAAAAAAACAGCTTACATATCAGCCTTACCTTGCCGCGTGATGTATCACGAGCTGCCAGCATGCAGACATGTTATTGTAAAGGCACCAAATTCTTTACTTGAATACAAATAATAAAAACAGAATTTCTGTAATATGTACCCTACTTATGGCGTGTCCCTACTGCACTTTATATAGGCGATTATTTATTGTGGTGTTTTTCAATTAAATTCAAATCAATTAAATTCATTAAATCGCTGCTTAAGTTATTTTTGCATAAATCCCTCCTCTCTCTATATATATGTGTGTGTGTGTGTTTGTGTGTGTGTGTGTGTGTGTGTGTGTGTGTGTGTGTAAGGCAGCGAGGGAGGGAGACTGAGAGAGATCCTCCCTATATGGTGTGCGTTGCACCATTCCCTGGTCTGTATTATGAGTGGTGGCCCTTGTGATGCTGCAGCGAGGCGGGCGGGAGGAAAAGAGGATAGGGGAGGGGTCGCTCCATCCCCTCGCGCCCACCGAATCCACTTCTCACAGCGCGCGGGCTGCTGGCGGGAAGGCACGAGAAAGAGAGAGCGAGAGAGAGCAGTAGAGAGAGAGAGAGCGAGAGAGAGAGGGAGGGAGAGAGGAGAAAGCGTGTGTGTGCGTGTCTCCGTGTGTGCGCGTGGATTGCACCACCGCATCCCGTTCACCGTTTCTGCAGGCGGCCATGCTCTGATGGAGAGAATAAAACTGACAAGCTTTTCTTTTTCCTCAGATTTACCCACCGCTGTGTCATTCCAGATGTGACTGACAGGTCGTTTTATGTGGCCTGCGTTGAGTGCTGTGCTGTTCATCTCGGAGAGACTGTGACACCATGGCTTTGGTTATGGAACCTATAAGTAAATGGACACCAAAGCAAGTGCTGGACTGGATGAAAGGTAATATTGGATCCCTTCATTGCATCAGGCTGATTATGTTCATGCTGCTTGTGGTTAGAGTGAGGAGGAGGAGGCGGAGGAGGAGGGTGACGGTGTTGGTGATGATGGTGATGGTGAGCAGCGGAGGGCCACACACTGTGTGCATGTGTGTTCTCCATATCCAAACCTGCAGGCTGACGTGTGAATTTAGCCGCTGTAGCTGGTTACTGTGAGACTGATTCAAGTCACTGAAGTATGGGGTGAATGCTTTTGAGCTGGTGAAAGTGAAATGGATGTCCCCAAGAAGCAGGGAGTGGAGGCTCAGCATTCTGTCATCTGGCTTGCTTGAGAGCGCACTCCTCGCAAGCCAAGCCTATAGGCTGCTGTTGCTGCTGCTGCTGCTGCTGCTGCCTCCATCAGCAGCAGCAGCAGCAGCAGCAGCAGAATACCTCTCATCAATGAAGCTGGAAGATATGACATCTGCTCCTCCACTCACTGGCACATGCTGTAAAGCCAGTTATCACCACTTACTGTGTGTGTCTGTGTGTGTGTGTGTGTGTGTGTTTGCCTATATGCATGTGCGCGTGCGTGTATGATTAATGTAGTTAACTGCATGCACCCCCCACCCCAAATCCCCCTATGCCAGCCGTACAGGCAGTTTCAGCACCGTGGACAGCGCAATGCCGCCTGCCATATAAGGCAAACGCACCGATCACACTCGCTCTTATTTATTTATTTATTATATTTATTGCTTGCTTTGCTGGCGCGAGATACATCCCTCCGAACAGACAGTATGAATGAGTAATCGCTAATCATGCGTGTATGAGTGTGTGTGAGTGAGTGTGTGTGTGTGTGTGTGTGTGTGTGTGTGTGTGTGTGTGTGTGTGTGCGTGTGCGTGTGCGTGTGCGTGTGTGAGTGTGGTGGTAGGAGCTGTTCTCACACACTCTGCTCAGCTACTGAGCTGTGAGAGAAACTGTGGTAGGCCTATTGACAGACAATGGAAATGGTGAGGGAGGGTGTCCGCAATCCCTTTACTTTGGAGAATGACTTAATCACTACTTGTGTGATGACTCAAACCTACATGTAAAGTCCTTATGGGACTTGGTGATAGTGTGGCTGTATTACTTACACACAGAGTGATCAATTTTCTTATTTCAATCTATGGATTCCCTACAACTCCACATTCCTGCATGTGTTCCAGGAGTTCCCCTTCATTGTGGTGAAGCACTAATGTCTGAGATTAGGAGTCAAGGTGGTTGATAGACCCTCAGGGGACATGGTGAGGGAGTATTTGGGATGCCTTAAGTTAAGTGATTACGAAGATGTTCCTGGTTTTATAATTGCTCTCCTCAAGCAGCCAGTGGAGTTATAGCTTCATCCTCTGATCCGTTGAGTGTTCATTTGGAAAGCTTTGCTCCTGCACCGTTCATTAAGAGAGGCTGAGTTGAAATTTGATTGGAGATTAGATTACTAACAGGCTAAATGTGGTTAGAGTTTTGCAACATGGAAAACACAATAAAAATGTTGGTTTTGGTTCAGTTGTTTCTTTAAATGCCACACAGTGTAATTGACTTACACACATATTTGTGCTCAGTAAGGTAGCAGGTGAAACTCAGTATTGACAGAAACTTATTGCCATATGTGCTGAGTTTTTTTAAACATACTGTCGTTCGAGGAACTATAAGTTAAATTATGAGTCAGCCAGGCCCAAAAATCCATGTGCCAAAATAAAATCCTGCATGTGGAAGTTAGATGCATTTCATCTGAGGTGAATCAATGATTTCCTCTGCAGGCTCCAGGAATGTTACATTAGGTTTGAGCAATAAGAAATGTCATCTATGAACCCTGCATATGATAACGTAACAAGCGGATAAAAACGCTGTAAGACATGCTGGTTTTTGTCTGCTAATAAGGAACAGATGCAATTTAGTATTTCAACTATGATGTTCCTCAATCTCAAGTTATGATCATTAGGAAAATACCACAATAGGAACAGAAAGTTTTGATGTAATTTTTAAAGTTGACAGTGTCAGCTTTTTACACCTGTGATCTGCACAGGGAAAAAAAAGAATGATCTTGTTTCATTATTTTGCACACGTGCCACTGTGAGCAAGTTTGAGCAACACTGAAACAGCCTTTTAGACTAAAGTAAAAATGTAGAAATGTAGACAATTGCACCAAAGTCTTGCAGGAAATCGTTTCATCTCACTCTTGTGCATTTGGTCTCTTTATGAAAAGCATCTCCTGGCCTCTTCCAGATGAAGAGCTGGGACTCAGAGATTCAATTTCATAGTCATTCGCCAACATCGCCCAGTGTTGTCCCTGTTCCTGTGAAGCTCCCAGCGTTTTCCTGTGGGGCTTCAAACATAGACCCTCAGTGGCAGGCTTATGCTCAGATCTTATTTTCTTCTGAATAAAGTGAAGGGCAAAAAGGCTAGTATTAATCTGTACGCTTACACAGGCTTCACTTTGGCCTCTCTTTTCTGGAAGCTCTTCATCTCTCTCGCACTGAGATGAGGAGTCTTGTGCCATTTTTTGGGAGCAGTGACACCAAGACCTCCTTTAGAAGTACTTTAGTGATTTCTCTTGCTTATCATAAGAGAGAAAAAGCACTTTAAATGTATTTAGATATAAGACACATGGGGGCACGTAGCAAACATTTGTCTTTACCTACATCTTTTATACATTTTTGGATTAATGTTATATCACTGCCAAGGACAGAAGCATCTACTGGCCATCATAGTCTTAGAATTTCATTGTTTCATGAATGAAATACTTTTTCCTTGTGTAAATTGTAGGAACATAGCAACACCCGTAGCTGAATTGTGTGTCCTATTTTAATTTTTATCATTATTATTTTGTAGTGTTTAATACCTCCACTAGGCAGCATCAGTAGAGAAATAACAGGAAAGGGAAGCTCCCCAGCCAGACCCATAGGCCGGTGCCCTGGCCTCTAAGCTGTGGGGGCTCCTCTGGCTTCCCTATACCAGCTACAAAAGTCTTAACACTTTCAAAAATATCAGTATTATACACAGAAATCACAATATTCTCACAATTTTACATGTCTAACTTGAGGTGATTTGATGGAAATCTTCCCTAAAATTAAAAATATTGCTGTTAAAATACAAATGAAAAATCAGTTTGATTAGACACTATTTCAGTTGGTGTTGTTGACATTTGCAACAACACCAACGTCTAAAGATTATGTCAACTAATTTTTTTTTAAGCATTAAAAAGCAAGACCTATGTTGGCCTAACCACAGGCAGGATTAGGCAAAAAGAACTGAACCAAACTTGGTGGAGGGTTCGAGCAGGGGCCAGGGAAGAAGTCATAACATTTTGGCGCTTATGCGGTTAAAGGGGCGGATCCAGGAATTTTTCACTTTCCTTAACATTAAGAGACAGGGCATTCATCAACATTTTCATCAATTTCTCAGGAAATAATGTAGGGCCTATGCACCTTGATGTAAAAAAAATCAGCCATATTTATGTTGTTGAGATCTATGAGTTTATACAATTTGGTGCAGATCCAGAAAATAATGTGAATCTCATAGACTCGTGCAAGGAATTTTCTTTTACCACATGATTTTTGAAGTATATTTGATGGATTCACTGATGGGATTTGTGAAAAAAATACATATTTGGATGTGCTTAGTCCATTTTGGCCAGTGGTAGAACCAGTACTCCGATCCACACTCTAATAATACTCAATTACAAGTAAAATTCTTGCATTTAAAATCAGAAATAAAAGTACTATCATTATTAAGAGTTCTTCTCGATACTGAACTAATTCTAACTTCTTTATGTACTGCTGCGTAGGTCAATCTGTAAAAATAAATTATATTTTATGAAATGATTACACTTTTTGTATTTTGTATAAGTAGCTGTCAGTACAATTATGCCCTATAAAGTAACATAAAGTGGAAAGTATAAACTATGTCAGAGTTGTACAGTACTTATAAGTAAAAGTACCAAGTCACTGAGTCAACGTTTGGCAGCTTTTTAGTTACATTTGCATTTAGCTGGGTCTGGTGAGATCATCAGCTCAGACTGATATAAGGTAGTTTGAATTATTAAAACAGTATCAGGTTTTGTAACACTCATCATTGAATGTGAGAAATTTAAGACTGCACTTTTTAGGAATCCATCCTTCCCAAGTGCAACAAATGAGGGAAAATCACAGTTACGTGCCACCTGCAGAAGCTTGATCCAGATCTGGGGGACAGCAGTTCCTTTCCCTCAGTAGTCCAGACCTGTCATATGAGAGAATATGGGACAGAGAGATGGGAAACTCTGCAGTCCTATCGAGAAAACCTGACACAGCTAGCTCCCAGGCCAGGCAGACTATACTGTATTTCTCACTGCTGTAGAAGAACTGCTCCAGCAGCAGAACGCTGGTGAGGCTCACAGAAAGATGACTCATTTGTTTTGATTTGAACACCCACACTGGAGGAGTTTCCTCTATGTGTGCGTGTGTGTGTGTGAGGGTATGTATCTGCTCGGGTGTGTGCAGACGCAATTGATGTGTAAAGTATGACGCGTACGGATCTGTGCTTTAACGTGAGGCAACAAAGAAAAATGGACTTCTTCTCTTCTGCTCTCGGTGCTGTATGTACCTCATCAGATCAGCCTGTGCTTTCAGGCGAACAGCATCGGCAGCCTACTGATGCATACATTGACGGGAAAATGAATAAGGCAGTTCACTTTTCCTGCAGTCATCTGTCTTTTCCTCTTTGTGTGCTGATGCACTGGAACAAAAAAAAAAAAAAACAACAAAATTTTAAAAATAAAGGTGATATGTGATATTTCTGTCAGTGTAAGAGCCTGTGAATGACTGAGATCATGAGATGTACAACTTATTATGTGTATTTTATATAAATGTGTGGCAGTGGTCCACCAAGGAAAATGAGATCTACCACTACAACAGGAAATGTTTTATTCCTCTGTAGAAAGAATCCCTTGGATATTAATTCGTTGTTTGAGTGTCCTGGGGTGTTGAGGACCATGTTTACTACCATTC